TCTAGAATTCTTTTTAATCAGATGTGGATTTTCAAACACCCCAAACAACTTTCAGAAAATTTAAAATCGCCAACATTTTCAAAAGTCAATAACATCAAAACGTACGAGTTTTCTACACTTTTTTTTTTACACCATTTCCTCACAAAAAATTGAAAACTAGACTTTTTGATATCACAGATAGCTGCTTCTTCAATAAAAATGAAAGTCGGAAATTTTCCTATCTTGTGACTGGTCATCAGCAAAATTACTTTGTTAAAAATCACTCTGATTCTACACACGTACTCTGAAGTTGATATTAAAAGGATGCTTGAGTTCCTCATTTATGTAGTCTTTGGAGACCAGGTCTTCCAACAAACTTTTGGAATTCCAATGGGTCCTAATTGTGCTTCTTTATTAGCCAACCTTTTCTTATATTCCTATGAAGCAGAATTTATTCAAAAACTTTTACACAAGAAAAAGGTCGCCCGCGTGGCGCAGTGGTTAGAGCGTCTGCTCTAGAGTCGCGGAGTAAGGAGTTGATACTTACGTCGCGGGTTCGAATCCCACTGTGGGACGTGGAGACCGGTCCTTCGGATGAGACCGTATAAACCGAGGTCCCGTGTCGCAGTAGGTGCTGGCACAAAAAAGATGCCTCACTGCTCAATGGCCGTAAGTGCCGAGTATAGGACAAGATTTGCAGCTCTCCAACGGCAAGTGGTGGCGTCTCCATGTGAGTGAAAAATTCTCGAGAGGGACGTTAAACAACATACAAACGAAAAAACAATGTATTATCAATTAACAATAGTTACTTTCATTCATTTATCGATATACGAGTATCCCAGTGAACTTGAAATAAATGACTCCATAGAGTCTGCCAAATTTGTTTCATATTTGGATGCCTTACTGACTATAGACGATAAGGGCCAACTAACAATCTAATTATATGACAAACAAGATGACTTAAGCTTTTCAATCGTCAGCATTCCTTATTTATTTAGCAACATCCCACTATCGCATCATATGGTGTTTACATCTCCCAACTTATTCTATACTGAAGAGCATACTCCGAATATCATTTTTTAAACCGAGGCAGGATTTCAACAACCTCGTTTGAAGTCAGCATTTCCTAAATGTTATGGTCGTTATAAAGACCTTGCAAATATAACCTATCGTATGGTCGTATTTGGGCTCTCTTTTTTCAACCAATTGTTAGGTCTTTGTTGTTTGTTTTTACTGAATTTGACTACGGAATGTTCCGTCTACCTGATCAATGTATAGGGCTCACGGCGGCGGGTGTGACCGGTCGACAGGGGAAGCTTACTCTTCCTAGGAATTGTATTATAGATTTTTTGAGATCGATCACTGTAAGTTATCTTCGACTTTTTCATATGTATTTGATAAGTGACTCTGAGTGCTATACTCATAATCAGCAAAGTTAATAATAAAAAAGCCTTCAATGGAATTTAAGCCTAGAAATATTAAGTCAATTCATTTAACGACTATTGATTATTTTATGTGCTTTTTTCCCTTTGAGAATATTTTATGCACTCTTGCTATAATCTATAAACCTTCCTCATGCATTTTTGGCGATGAATTGCACCTAGTCTGCACTACATGTATTTCGCCCAAAACAATTCTCTTTACCTCCAACTAAATTCAAATCATAAACGAATATCTGCAGCAGCAAGGGTTTGAGGTTACAGCATATCCTGCTTGCACACCATACCGTTCTCAATAAGATTCCTTTTTCTTTCCAAATGCTGTATATAAAAACATTCTGGGAGACAATTTATATCTCTCTCAGTACTTGAGATATCTCTATATCTCCGTGTGTTACAGCTATTCCAAAAATCAGGAAAGAACAAAATCAGGAATTTATGATTGGATTAAGAGGCTTAAGAAGTGCATAGAGGCCATGCGGATTACATTATCTTTAAGGAATTAAATAGTTTTTTCTGAAAATTATTACTGTTTGTATTTTTTGTACTCGAGCTAGTGGACAAATATTATTGAACAACCCTTGTTTATATATTCCTTAATCTGAAAGTTAATATTACGAACGATATATATATATATATATATATATATATATATATATATATATAGATATATATATCATCATCATCATCATCATCACAGAGAATTCACTTTTAAAAGAATACCCATTTCCGCCCCACCCCGGGGTTGGACTCTCGACCAGCTGAATCAGTCTCCTAGCAGTATAGGAAAAGCACACTAGACCTCACGACTATCTAGGCAATTCATAAAGCTTCCTTTCGATGCCAATGGAATTTTCGTGGCGCCACCTCGGTTTTTGAGGTGGGATCAGGTGCCATGGAGGAGAGAGTATCCCCTCCCGACCGGTCACACCCGCCGTGTGCTCCTTGTCATGATCGGGAAATAACGGAAAATTCCGTCGACAATTCAGGCATAACAATTAGTATGAAAAAACGTCCGTCAGCATTTGACTTAATGATAGATTCTATCTGCTGACAAACTCATTGCATCGACCATAAAACTTACAAATCATGACTTTTAATGAGATTGTTGATATTCTTTTTTCATCAACTTGTTTGTCAATAACTTAACTCGTTTTAGAAATTGTTCATACGTAGAGCATGTTCTTGTGTATCGAATCAACTGAGAGATATACACCCCATATGCAGGTAATAAGGGTGTATTGCTGCTTTAGTAGGGGAACTTAAAGTTAAAGTCATTACGTTTATCATAAAGCTTGGTTGTTAGATTACCATTAACGTCTTTTTCTAGTAAAATATCCAAATATGAAACTGATGTGTCAGCATCTGTGGTATAATTTATATTTCAAGCTCACTTGGGTATATCGTTTCGACATATGAATGGAAATAACTATTGTTAATTGACAATACGTCGTCGATATATCTAAATGTCGAGTTGAAGGCCACAGCAAGACTTCTTTTTCTCAAGTATAAGATTTTGAATAAATTCTGCTTCATATGAATTCAAAAATATGTCTGCTAACAATGGGGCGCAATTTTTACCTATGGGAATTCAAAAAGATTTTTTGAAGACCTGGTCTCCAAAAACCACAGAGATATTGTCAATCAGAAACTCACGCATCTTTTTAATATCAACTTCACAGGACATGTGTGTACAATCAGAATGTTTTTTAACAAAATAATTTTGCAAATGATCAATGACAAAGTAAGGAAATTTATGACTTCCATTTTTATTGAAAAAGCAGCTGTCTATGATGTCAAAAAGCCTGGACTTTAATTTATCGTGGGGAATGGTTGTATACAGAGTTGAAAAGTTGTTAGTTTTTATGTCATTGATTTTGCTTAAATTTTGTGATTTCAAATTTTCCAAAAGTTCCTTGGAATTTTTTTTAAGTACCAACATCTGATTTACGCCACTTCTCGAATATTTTGTTGCACAGTACTCCTGAATTTTTCCATCACTGCTGGTAATATTTTAGTGGGGAGTAAAGAAAGAGGCTTGGTAGAGCATTTACTGGAACCCGCTGTGTATCTTTGTTTGTAAGGATTTTTTATGAAATTTCGGAATCCAATAAAAATATGGTAATTCAAATTCATTTTGGTTGTTGGGAATATTAAAAAAAATCAAAACTGACATATGATTTTGAAGAATGTCCTCCTTAGAAAGGGAGCTATTGGTGTAAAGTTGGATTGCCACTTGTAGAATTAAATCCCAGTTCTTCTAAAATACAATTTAAAAAAATGAGCCTTACAAACAAAGACAAGGTTTTTATCTGCTTTGTCACCTGGGACCAGTACATACTGATCGTGTAGTCGATCTTATTCTTTTTTCACTTCTGAATAATTTAACAGGGAAGGATAGATGGTTTTCACATTGCCCCTCAATCGCTTAATGCGAGATTTTAACAGACATTTGATACATTTAATCCATTCTGACGAAGTGTCAATGTCTTGTTTTTCATGTCTGGCCCATCGCCTAGGGTAATCTTCCTCAGAATTCATAATATTATGGAAATTTTGATTCCAGTTGGGGGAACGGGGTTCCCGAAATTTTGGTCATTTTAAAATAAGTGATTTAAGGTCCTCATTATTAAGTATATTTACGTCACCAGTAATAACGTGTCCAGCAGGACTGTAGTTGTAGAATGAAGAATAACATGAACACAATGGAGGATTATGTATCAGATGCTCAATATCTATAAAGTTTTCTTGTAATTAAAAAGGTTGGAAGCAATAAACAATGTATATTTCTAGGAAATACAAGGTGTAGTCTTCAATTGGAAATAAAAGTGGAATACAAGACTGAACCCTTTTGTGATTAAGAATATTACTTATATTAACTGCGTCAATTCTTTTGTTGGCAGATTGAAGTTAAGGGAAAAACGGGTAGATTTAGCTGTATTTTCTTCCGTAAAACGTGGTGCTTTTAAAAGCCTATGATTTGTAATATCCATAACCACAGATCGGAGCCTGTATATAGGTGACAATGATAAACTACAAAGACATGGGTAACCTGCTACAATTATCATTAATATGATACACTTGACAAAGGCCCCTCTCCTTTACCCAGGAAAAAAATGTGTTATGATGGCAAAATAAATCCCATTTCATGAGAGGAAATTATAAAGCTGAAAAATAACAATCTTTTGCATATTTTTTATTTTTTTTTTATTGTCGCTAATCCAAGATACGCTTTGTATCAGTATTATCTAGAAAAAAGCTACTGTCTGAAATATTTAGTCAAATTTCCATTTGCTTGTAATTAGATTATTTTTATGCGGTTTCTTTTTCGAAGGGAGAGAGGTATGTGGAAATTAGTTTTGTGTTTTTACAAGTTTTCCTATTTCCAACTGACACGCGTACAATTAAAGTTTGAAGAAGAAAAAACAATGAAAAAATAGATGTTAACTTATATTCAATAAAAGTTGAAATAACTGCTAGCTAGATAGATGAAAAGAAAAAGATATAAGTAAAAAAACTGAAAGATGATAGATAGAAAAATAGATGCACAGGTAAGTGGTAAAGAATAAGTAAAAAGTTTACCTTGTGTTTTAAATGGTGGTATGCAATTTTCTTCAGCAAGAAATTTGGTGCAAACCCTTGTTTCCCAAAGTCCAATGACGATGTGGGCCGTGAAAAGCTCTAAAGTATCATAAGTAGAGAAAAATAATTCACTGGAACTATTAGATAAGTTCATTGTGTTCATAGAATGCTCTGCAAAGTCAGTATCTTCAAAATATGAAAAGTTATATTCCTTCTTCCAGTTTTCGTACAACACTGACATATTGGAATCAGAGGCCACATCTTTATGATGTATACTGGAATCTTCAAAACTGGAAGGAACTTCGGTATCTAAAATGGAGGGATCGCTGGTATCTAAGTTGTTAAAGTGAAGAGTAAACTCTAAGTATTTCCAAGACGGGGCAAATATTCCCGCAACAAATATCAGAAGGGTGATACTTGCAGAAAAAAAGCTGATCCGGAGAAAAATGGTGGATTCATAAAATGCTTCATTAAACTTTTCCACCATAATCCCTCTATCTCTGGTTCCCTTGCTTTTGTTCATGTGCATCAGATGTCAGAAACACACGACGATATCTGTTGCTTGTAATCTTTGTTATATATCTATAATCTGATCAATATTTTTACAAGGTTAGCCCTGATTAAAACACACGCTGAAGATGTAGCACCATCTGGAGATGACCGTTAATTACCACTCTTTCGAATTCTAGATTTAGACGATTGTGTTGAGAAAATATGAATCCCCGAACAAGCGTTAAGAAGAAGTTTTTCCTCTTTTCCTAAAGAGAAACATTAGACATGTAATCTTTTTATCAGCCTAATGATATGAAATTTGACTTAGAAAGCCCTTCAGCAAAGCGATAATAAGAAATGATTACTTTAGATTACAATACATTTTACATTAAGATCATATTTATGAAAAGAATACTTTAATTAACTTAAGAAATTTCTTCATATTACATTGAATAAATGTCTTCAATTTTCGGCTCAGCTTCTTCTCAAAAGAAAATAGGAATATTTTGATTGTGCTTAAGTAAAACACCTCGTCGTTTCGAGATACATTTTTCCGGAAGTTGTGTTATTAATATATATCCATTTTTCTTCCCAAATTTCAATGTTTATCTGTCAATTATTTATTTGTTTAGGGTTCTTTAGAAGGAATAAGAAAGGGCGAAAACATGCATTTCACAAGACAAAAAGAATGTGAACATTCTTCAAAAATAAAATGTATTTTATTAAAATAAAGCTCTTATAATCTTTGATTTTTAAATCGTGGAAAGCCGTTCTTTTTGGTCTATTTACATTCTTGTAATGGTTATTACAAATATTTTTTTTTTACTTTTTAGGTACCTTTATACTAGTATAATACAGAAACAACACAACTCACAGTAAGACAATATTTGTATTTAAAAAGGTATTCAGATACATACAGTGCGAGGCGTACAAATGTAAAACTTCATTTTAAAGGGTCACATATATATAGTTTGAAGATGAGTGCAACCCTCTTCTTGCTTTTCTTTTACCTTATCCTGATTCTTGAACCCGACGTACTTCAATTGGTACGAAATGTCCGACAGAATAATTAATTCATATGTTTATACCATGTATAGTGAATAATCAATATTTCAACTGCAAAGTTAAGTGCGGTGTATGCTTTATATAAACCTAAGTATGGTTCTGATGTCAACGTCTTTTTCTTCATTAAGTGGGCAGTAATTTCAATTCATTTTAATGAGTTGTGCAAACCTGTGGACAAGTTTCTTGCCTTTTGTGTCATTATTTTAGAGCTGTGGAATGGATTTCCTAAACCTAGAATAAGATTGTTTTTATAATTGCAGTTTTATACGAACGTCACTGTAGAATTGAGGTAATCAATCTTATACAGAATGATTCCGTTCTATAGGTTTTATATTGTCACTAGGAGTAGATATATGAAATCATTAACTTTAAGGTCAGTGACTCTGAACATAGTAATTTTTGTCACCTAGCACTATAACCATCATGAAGTTAAGGTTTCGAAAATCACTATTACTTTTAAAAATAACATTGCTAATGACGTCTTATAATAAAGGATTACTTTAGTATTTCGTCCCTGATTTTCGTTGTTTTAAATCTTTGGGATTTACTTTTCATTTTTTTAAATATAAAGATGTACAGCATTAACTATTTTTCCTTGTCTACAACTCATAATCAATCATTTTTCTGCACACTACTGTATGTTGATGGGGAATTTTGTTTAAGTTATTGATAGAACTTGTCTTCGTTCATAGTATAGTTGACAACAACAACAACAACAAAATTACATAGAAATAGCAACAATCAATACATGAGGAAGCCTCTGTTATAAATTGTTGAAATGTCTGCGTTGAAGTTACTAGCTCTGATTCTTAATCGAAAATTCAAATTAGCTTTCCCCTCTCTGTAATCAGACATTTTCTTTGTTCTTGTTTTAGTGTTGTTTTATCTAATCTAGATTTAAATGCAGCCACCGATGGGGCTTTTTTACCATTTAATTCGTAGTTAATTCCATTTAATTGTATTCTTCAGATGCAGTTCCTAATTTTGAGTGGAAAGACTTCTTTCTGTATATATTAATCAATATGGATACAAAAAAAGTCTAAAAAAGACAAATTTGAAGACAATTTGAAATCAGAAAATTTTACCAAAATTAGAAGCATCAAAGTGTATGACTTGTTAACACTTTATATGCACCCATTACTCATGAAATGAGAGACCAGACTTCATGATAGACAACTGCTTTTTCAGTAAAAATGGAACTCTTAAAATTTCATATCTTGTGATTGGTCATGTTCAATTTTTGTTAAACATAATTTTTATTTAAGTTGATATTAAAAATATTCTCGATTTCTTCATTGATAAAACCTCTCTGCGGACGTCGGAGACCAGGTCTTTCAACAATATATTGGGATTTCCATGGATATAACTGTGTCCCTTCACTAACGGATCTATTTTTGTACTCTTATGAAGCAGGATTTATTTAAAAAGAAAATAAAAAGAAAAAAAATTCTTACTGTATCTTTCAATTCGACATTTAGATATTTCGACGACGTTTTATCAATCAACTGTTTTCATAGTCATACATACCTTTATTTGATATCTCAAAGTGAACTTAAAATAAGAGACACCACAGTGTCTACACATCTATTTCATATTTGGATGTTTTACTGGAGAAACACATCTTTGGAAAACTGACAACTAAACTTTATGATAAAAGTAATGACAGAGAAGGCTACTCCTACTTGATCTGATCTCACTCCTGATGTTATCAAAGTACACATTACACAGACTAAAGTGGCTTACATAAATTTTATATGAAATTCACATGAATTTCATGTGAATTCTTTGCATGAGAAAGAGACGGAAAACAAGACATGTGAAATTTATGGGAAAACTTTAAGCCATTTTGACATAACTTTCATATGAATTTCACATGGAGAGCATATCGCATAAATATCGTGCAAAGAAAACTTCACATGAAAGTTCTAAAAAAAAAATTATGTGAATATCATTCAAACTTATTCACATGATATTGGCATGAAAAAATATTTATATAATTTTTACATGATTTTCACATAATTTTTCAAATAAAAAGATAATCACATGAATATCATGTAAGCAACTTTTCCCTGTGTATAGTTCTTCTTGAATTGAACTTTTGAGCATGATTTGCTTGTTATCTTCACATTTTAATATGCATATTTTGAAAATGCATACATGATTTTAAATTTCAAACAGATGATCCACTGTACTACCATGAAAAATCTAATAAGAACAAAATAGATTTTTTTTTTACTTAAGTTTCCCAACCTTACTCTTCACCTTACTCTCCACACAACTTTGAGGAGTTGCAGTTTAAACCAGTTATAATTCTTGTTGCTTGAACTGAACATCCTTAAATAGTTTAGAACTGAGTTCATTTCAATTATCCCAAATAATATCTGCGTATTTGAACACAGATTTGATAAATACTATATGATTTCTATTTAGGAACCTTGGTAATTTTATATATTTTTACTATCGAAATATAGCATAGGTGGCATTATGGTGTTATGTTTTTTGAGAGTTAATCGTTTGGTTTTCTTAGTTTTTTTTTTAAAAATAAGGCTATATTTAAAAATTTTACACGCTTTTTCATGGACATTTTTATATGAAGGGACTATCAGACTAAAACGTTAGTCTTAAATGCTTTGTAAACAATGATTGTTTAATTGCATTGTAAACAATAAAAAATCAAATCCTTATGTTATTTTAGGAAGTATTTATATATTTATTGTCTCGCAAAATGAACCCTTTAAAAGGGCACATGGTCCTCATTTGAACACTTTTAATCTTCTATACACAATAATACTATAAACAATAAATATTTAAAATGGCTCAGTTGTGCTGGAGAAGTCGAAAATAAGAAAAAATAACAGACATAGAGACAGACGACAGACTAACAGAGAGACGGACAGACAATGGACTAACTTCGATCAGAAATGCTCAATTGCGCCTTCGGCTCAGATGTTGAGCCTTCGGCACAGATGAGGTAAAACTATGTGCCATCATTGTAGGAGTTATCATCCTTACAACAAAGAATTTGGTTTATTGATTCATTGCAATTCACTTCAATTTTGTGACGCCATAAGTAATTCTGTTAACAGTTTTCATGCGAACTGTTACAATATCAAGCCATATTGATATCTTTAAAGGGATTGTACATTTACTGTTGTATGTTAGTGGAATTATAATATTTAATAGAGATCTAATGGTTATTAAGTATACGGATAAGATGCAGACATTCTTCTTGACGTCTTCACCAACCAATACTTCTGTAACTGAAAAAAGTAAAAATAGAATGATCTGGCAATATTTAAATCAGAAATTATATTTAGAAAATTGATCCTTAACAATGCCCAAATACTAAAGATAGAATTACCATAAATTGTGAGATAAAATTTATATTGTAAATTTCAGGGTTCTTTTATGGGATTCTGCTGTTCTTTTTCACAATATAATCAAGTAGAATTCAAAGATCTCAATCACAGATTTGAATCAGCAATATTTACATTATCCCTGCCGTTTCTCTGGAGCGCACGCGCCTTCCAAGGCTTGAAACGCGTTCGCTTCTGACCTTTAGCCAAAATCGGTGATCAGTATATTTAAGAAATCACTGTCTAGTTAGTAGAGTATGCCAGGGCATCAACGATAGTTGGAAAAGTGGGATAATTTGCATAACGGGCGAAGCCCGTTATGCATAAATTATACCACGTTTCCAACTATCATTGATGTCCCTGGCATACTGTACTAACTAGACAGTGATTCCTTATATTTCCATTTCATTGTGAAATAAAATTGTAAATTTATTTTAAAATTGTAGACTAATAGATTAAAATTGCACGAAGCCTCACATGTCAATTTCAATAGTCCCCGCTCACTGACGTCAAACACAAAGGCAGCCGCACGAGAATTACATATATATTAGGTCTCCTTAGAATCAGACACAAAGACAACCGCACGAGAATTACATGTATATTAGGCCTT